CTGCTCATTTCAAACCCTGGAAACATAGCTATAAATCAAGGACAGCTTATCAGGAGCCAAGGATTTTTCTGCTCTAAACATTTCCTCCTCATTCAATAACTTTTATGATTATTCCCATACTGCTTGAATTAGCCAACAGGATGGACTGTGAAACTTCTATCCAGCCAGTGGGAAGGAGGCCAGCTACTCACCTCCTGTATTAGCATAAAAGAACTGACCCTCCTTTGTTCCATGCATGCCTGCTACCTCGTTCTTTCTTCTGCAAAAGAAAAACTGAAATTGCCTTGTCAAAATTTCTTATTGTGTCAGTGCATTCTTTTTGACACCAACAAATTGAGTCTGGAGTCTTATTCCCAACAAAGCCTCATGTATTCATAAGTGGGAATTTGAGGAGGTGATGTTCATAGTGGTGTGATGCTCACCAGTGAATTAGTCATAGCTAAATGTGTGGTTGGAAGTTCCTGGTGTGACCTGGACGGATGTATTTCCCTCCCTTTCCCCTTGATCTCTCTCTGCTTCCCACGACCATGCCATGAAGTTTATTCTCTGACATGCTGCCCTTTGTTTAAACCGACCGTGGACTGAAACCTCTAAGAAATGTGCCAAAATAAAACTTCCTCCTTAGAATTATGGAGTGTTGGCTCCTGTTCCCAGCAAGGAGAACAGTAATTAATACAGACTTCCTGGACAGGAGTGATTCACATGAAAAGGGAAGCAGTGCCAGATGGTGGAAAGTTTTGTGACATTCCTCATAAGTCTAAGAACTTATTATTTCTGGAATATTCCATTTATTTTTATATTTGTATTTTCAAGGCTGACTAGGGATATCTGAAAACACAGAAAGCAAAACCATTAATATAGGAGCACAAGCTCCTAAAAAATCCATGGAATTTCCTAAGTGATAAGACAAGATGAAAGAAGTGGCAAACAAAGATGAAAAGGTATCATTATTCATAACAACCTTTCAACCACTCCAAAGTTTAGGTTTGTGACATAACTTTTCAGAAAGAATTTAGAAAACCTCAGGATAGGGCCTACTTGCCAGGGAAACCGAACTTGTGATTAGAGGATTGGAGTTTTTCAGTTCTACCCTACCTTAACTTGACCTCTGAGAGGGGAGAAAGGCTGAGACTGACTTCAACCACCAAGGGTCAGTGATTTAATCAATTGTGCCTACATAAGGAATCCTCTATAGAATGCCAAAAAATAGGATTCAAGACTCCAAGTTGGTAAACTCGGAAGTTAAATGAAAAGTGGCACACATGGAAGAGACAGCTCAGTGTCCCTTACCACACAACTTGCCCTATGGTCTCTTCCGTCTGGCTGATCCTGAGTTGTATTTTTTTTATAACCAGAAATCTTATAAGTAAACTTTTCCTGAGTTCCGTGAGCCATTCCAGGGATTGTAGAAACCTCTGATTTTAGCCAATTAGAAACACCAATAAAAATATGGATATGTAATTTATTCCTGAAGTGGCAGAGGGCAGTCTTATGGGACTGAAAGCTTAACCTGAGGGTCTATGGTAACTCTAGGTAGAGTTGTAATTGAATGTAGGGCATCAAGTTGCTATTTAGAAAAATGCTTGGTATGGAAAATGTCTAGTGTCAGAAATGTGTTAGTATAGAGATGGCATTTTTTCCATACAATAGCTGAAGTACTGCCTACATGATTAGTTTGTGTATTGCTTAAAAATAAAAAACCCTAATGATCTTGCTTTAAAAGTGGCAACATTCATTTCTTTTTTCTGATGTGTATTGGTAACAGGCAACACACATGCAAAGGTCTCAACTGAAAAATAGAAATAATTTTTAAAAATAAAAATTCCAATTGCTTTTCTGGTATTAAGCATTTGGTGGGTTCCCTATCATTTACTTTGTATATTCCCTACAGTGATCCAATTAATATTTCAATTTAACATATAATTACATAGGCAAGGCTTTGGGTTTTATAGTACATACATACAAAGAATATTCTTGACTTAATAAAGTATGTACTGTATAATGATACTGTTCAGAAAACATTTCACTCAATGTAATCATGAAGGTTGGACAAGATACTTATTAGTGTTCAGAGTGGATAGGGTTTTGTTGTAATTGGAAACAAAGAGCTTTTGTAAAGCTCCTGAAATTTGTTGTCTTATAGGAGACAATCTTATTTACAGACTATAATTTTTCACCCACAATATTGTGTTCAAAGATTACCAGAAACATTAGTCAGAGACATCAATATTAACTCATATACACATTTTATACACAGAAAAATACAGTAGAGAAGCAAGTACAGAACATGTGTCTATACATGAGTTAGTATATAGTACAGACATTTGTACTAATGAGTCCTGTTCTCCAAGAGGACCTGGAAGCAATGATACCCCAGTATCAACAAACATACCAAGATTTTGGTTTATAAATATCATTCTCCAAATTAAAGTAACCTGTGCTCCTTTGAGAAGCAACTGATCCTAAGGCTAAGGCTGGGCAAATATGAGGTGAACCAAGATCATCTTGTAAAATAATTCAAAGAACAATGGGATAAAAGCATGTCAAAAGAACACAAGAGTCAACCTGCAGAAGTCTTGTGGTCAAAGAAAAGTACGAGTTCATAGGGCAGAGACAAATCTTTCTTATGGAAAAATTTCAAATTATGTATTTAGATTCTAACCACTTACAGGATGTGAAATCCACATCTTCAGTGGGAACAAGGGATTGTTCAGTTAGGGTAGAAATGGAGAAATAGTAACTACAATGGAGAAATCTGGCAAAAACTATCTTACCCAGAAGTTCTCACCCTCTGCACACTATTTGGTCCAGATAATTCTTTGCTGTGGGAGAGTGCCCTGTAGATTCCTAGGACGTTTAGTACCCTTTCTGTGCTCTATCCAGGAAACCAGGAACAACCCTCCATTCCTCAGTTATGGCAATCAAAAACATCTCCAGACACTGCCAAACCCACATAAGCAGCTTCTATTTCCTGCTCTATCCAGGAAACCAGGAACAACCCTCCATTTCTCAGTTATGGCAATCAAAAACATCTCCAGACACTGCCAAACCCACATAAGCAGCTTCTATTTGTAGATCTAGTTTTCTGGTTTTTTGTTAGTGATGACCCTTTAAGATTTCCTGACATCATGTGCCCCTTAGGATGCTGACCCCTGCTTGATCTTACTGGCCAAGATACCATCTTATGTTGTTGGTGTTCCTTTTTTTTTTGTACCAGGAATCGAACTCATGGTCTCGTGCTTGCTAGGCAGGTGCTTATGCCGCTGAGCTGAATCCCTGGCCCTGGCTTTCCATTCTTGCTGCCACACTGGCAAATAGTGCAAGTGTGGAGAAACTGATGCTCTGTAAGGGAAGTTCAGCCAGAGAAGGGAATCTGAAGAAAAATATTTTTCTTCTCTGCAGCCCTTGGTGAAGTGACATAGCTCGTACTGCTTACCCTCTATTCAGTGAGACTAACTGAACAGCTATGCCTGTTTAGAAGCTGCACCTCAGTAATAACTTTCCCAATTTGCTTTCTCTTGCTTTACTTTCCATTTACTTTCAGCCATCCTTTTCTGGAACTGTATCACTCAGGTGATGTCTAGCAACAGATTTTTTAAATGCTGTTTTATCAGGAATCCAAATTAAGGCCACTACCAAAGTGTAGACATCTGGTAGGCAAAGGGATGAGTCTGGAGTTCAGAGAAGAGTTCTAGGTTAACACAGAAGTCATAGATTTGAGGACCAGATGAGATAAACAAGGGAATGCATTTGATAGGAACAATATTGGAACATTGTCTTCAGGCACTTCAACTATATATAACCCAGAAAGATGAAGATATGAATTGTTCTAGAAGCCAAATAAAATGCAACAAGTATGCAAAATGCTACTGACAGCTAAATAACGTAAGAAATGAAGACTGGAAGCAGAAACAGTAGTTTGCAACCTTGGATAGAATGCTATATGGAGAATTTGTACAATAAGTTATTCTTCTAATTACTAGTATGATTTCTATTTTTCTTGACCAGTTTGCCTAGAATGTAAAAAAAAAAAAAAAAAAAAAAAACCTTTACAATATAGCTTTAGGGTTAAACTAAATGGTTAAAGTGAATAGAAATTCATTTTGGGGTTTTTTTTTTTTTTATATTTTGTTAATTTTCCAATGTAGTCTTTTCTTTTTAATTTGGTCATTCTACTTAAGACAGAAGTTGAGGTAACTGAGAATTATTTTTCCTAGTATTGATATTGTATAGCTATACATTTTTCTCTAAGTGATACTTTAGTTGCATCTCATTCGTATTATTTTATTTGATTTTTCCCCTTGAATTTATTGCATTAGTAGTAGTAAATTCCCATGCATTCCACACCTCTACATCATTTCAACCCCTGCAATCACTGGACTTCTAGGTATTTCATAGTTTTGCCTATTGCAGACTGTCACATAGCTGGAATTACTACAGTAACCCTTTCAGACCTCTTATCACTTAGTATTTTGGTGCCTTTGAGTTATGCCTTGATAGCTGATTTGCTAGCATTAAATATCATTCCAATGTCTAAAATTATCAGTGTACCCATTTACCTACTGAAGGACATTTTAGTTGCTTCTATGTTTTGCTGATTATAGAGTTGCTGGTATAACATCTGTGTGTAGGTTTTGTGTGAATGTTAAGTTTGCAATTCTTGGGGAAACACCAAGGGGTAGAACTGCTCAATTTTACACTATTTTAGTTTTGTAAGAAACTGCAAAATTGTCTTCCATATGCAGCAAATGCTTGAAGGGAATGCTCCAAGAGCAGTGTCAGGCGGTTGCAGACTTAGTAGTGTAATAAATATTCAGTCCTACAGTCCCAGATGAACGAATCTGGAAGAAGGATGAGAACTTCCAAAGTTACTGAAGTTATGTAAAAAACTATTAATCCAGATCTTTTCAGTACTAACACCACTGTAAAGTATCTATGTACAGTATGGTATAAGGAACAGGAAAACCGAAGTAACAAATGGCAGAGGTTGAGAGGCCAAATCATGGAAGGCCATGCCAGTTTTATTAACATACAGCGGATGAAGTATAAGTTTAGAATTTAAAATTACAAAGGTTTCTACAAATCAATAAGAAAATACAAATAACCTATATTAATCAGGACAGAAACCAAATCCAATTATCTTAAAACAAGAAAGGGACTTTATTGGCTCACAGAACTTTAAAGTCCGGAGGTAGGGCAGGCTTTAGGCACAGCTGGATCAAGGGCCTCCAGGAAAATGGTATCAGAACTCAGTTCTCTTTCCATTTCTGCTAGCCTCCAAATTTCTCCACAGACAGGTTTTCTCCATGTGGTACAAGTTCAGGCTTACATCATCCTTACTTCCTGGGATCTCCATAAAACGCTGTTTCCAGTAGTTCCAGCAGTTCTTTGAGGGCTCTCCTTGGTAGCCTGGCTTAAGTTACATGTCCATTCTTTGTATGGCTAGGGAGCTATAGGACTCAGGAGGCCAAGCCATTTATGTGCTCACCTAAGCCACATGGAATGGATTTACCACAATAAATAAGGGTTTTGTTATCAGAAAATGGGGAAAGAGATGATGAACAAACAAAAGCAACAAATATCCACACAACCCAATAGAAAAGTAAGTAAAAGATACAATCAATGTGAAAACTATAAACGACCAATAAATGTGAATATAACCCAACTTCACTACTTATCAGGGCAATGCAAAACAAGTTAGGATTCTCTCTTTTGCCCAACAGATGGACTGTCAAGTATAGGTAAGGCTATATGGGGAAATGAGCACTTTCCATACAGTTGGTGAAAATACAGAAGATATGAAAATATTTTGAAGGCTAACGTAGGTCAAGATGACAAACCTTTCAACTCAACAACCCATGTTATAGGACTCCAACCTAAAGAAACATACACTCATATGCACAAAGACATCTGAACAAGATGTTTACTTTGGCAATATTAAACAGCACAAGAAAAATGGGGAATAAATAATGTTATCTTCATACTATTTAATCTCATTCAACCATTAGAGAAATTTAAAGACTTCATTATCTTTGAGACAAAAATTAATTCCTATATATGACCCTATTTATGCAAAAATAGCGTTTATAGCTATGTCTATTCATATGAAAATGTATGGAAAGGGTAGTGGAGGGATATATACTAACAGTGGAAAGTGGAATGTGATTGGAAGCCCTGGAAAAATGGTCTTGATTCTTACACTTGAGTATCAATTACATTTTACATAATGAGAAGGCGGTCATTTATACTTTCATAATTAAAAATGGATAAAAGCAATTCACAAAGGAAATGAAACTGGCTAATAAACATGAAAAAATATTCCTATTAATCAAAGAAAGGCACAACAAAGAGATAAAACACTTTTTTTTTTATTGGTACGGGGGATTGAACTCACAACCACCTGCTTGCAAGGCAGGTGCTTATGCCACTGAGCTAAATCCCCAGTCCCGTGTTAAAACACATTTTGCCTATCAAATGAGCAAAACTTTTTAAGGATGCAGTGTTGGTGGGACTGTAGGTAAGCAGGCATTTTTACTATCAGTGGAGATATAAACTGGTACAATCTTTTTTATGGTATTTCTCAAAAATGTCAAATGCACATTGTCTAATCAATAAATCCATTTCTAGCTATTTATAGTAGAGAAACACCCACATAAGTAGCCAAATATATGTACTTGGATGTTAACTATATCTGTATCTATAAAGAACTCAATAATCTGTCAAAATGGGGTTGGTTAAATAAATTAGTATATTGACCAATGGGAGAGGAGGGGAGGCAAGTTTTAGCACAGTACCTATAAAATGACGTATGTACCTACCTCATATTGTTGCCAAGGATTAAGAATTATTCCATGGTAAAGCACTTCAACTGGTGCCTGTACACAGCAACCCTAGTGTCGCTATTAATTTTTTTTTCTTAAACATGTATATCCCTAAATCTGGAAGAACAAATGACACTACCATCACTTCTGGGTAAGGTTATGGAAGGGAATGTCTTTTTCATTTTACATTTCTGTACTATAAAAAATTCAAATAAGCATGTTTAAATTCAGATGAGCATGCTAACCATAGGACATATAAATGTAGTATTTATCAACTATGACCTAACAGATATTACTCAGCATAGTGAAAAAGTATGTCTCTGGAGTCCAAAAACTAGATTTGAATTTTAGCTCTTATTGGCCACATGCAGGTTTTTGAATCTTGATTTCCTAGTCTACAAATACAGGTGGATAGGTGTAGTGACTAATTCAATGATTAGCATGAAACATATTTCAAAACATGTAACCTTCCCCTCCAAACAAAAGACACAATGCTAAATGATTAAATGTCAAGTAAGCGTCAATGTGAAGAGCATAACCTCCCAGAAAACCAGAAGAAAATTTAACAGCAACTAACAAATGCTCAGTGGCTACTGAGTAAGTCACCAGCAGTCTGCACATCCTAACACAGATCTCATTTACTAACCAGAGTCCTGGTTAGGCCACTGCTTGGCAACTGGCACATCACTTCATCAGAAGCTAGGTTTCCCCACAAATTACAGTTTTTATCTGTGTGGGTATTGATGTGTGGATGATATAATTTGCTAAGCAGTTACTTTGAACCAACTTGTCTAGTAGAAACGTACGCCTAACTGGTGATGGTGAGTACACATCACTTCCTTTCCCTGTGTATCACCATCGTTATTTTTGACCCAGTCCTCTTTCCCCACAAAGCCTTGCCTTAGCCTTAGAATCCTTTCTGAACAATGCAGATGTCAGAGCTGGTGAGACAAAAATGTGTTTACCAACTCTAACGCTACTTTTTCTCTGCTCTCACAGTACCAAGTATCTTTGGCATCTATGACAAATCTACCACAGGGAAATTTCCTTGTATATGGGCAATATAAGATATTTAAAAGCATAAAATTTCCAGCATGTGAGATTCACACTCTTCTTAACTACTCTGATACAAGAATTCTGTTGTCCCAGCAGTCCTCCAAATATTCCATCTCAAAACCTACTTGGAAAGAAGCAAGTTATAAATAAATAAATCAATCACCCCAAGATCATTTTACCTTAAGAGCAGAGTAGTTTATAGCTTTATTGGGCATTGACTGGTTTCCTCTTAGCCACAAAAGAGAAAAAGACCCAAACAAAAGTCCCTACATTTTCTTGTATAACTTAAAATACATTATATCATTACTACATATTTATACTTCAATAAATCTTAATCTATAAAGCACATTTCTTATAACTGTTATCAGAAGATCTATAAACAAACTCCACTCTGCCTCCTCCTCCACCAGCTGGCCCAGGACTACTATGCTTTTTAATAGGCTCATGCAAATCTCACCTTCTGTTTTAAAATCAAGCACCAGATATAACCCAAATATCTGGAACTACTAAATGTTTTTATTTGCATGGTTCATCTTCCATACTGTGATGCCCATTTTTAAAAAGCTCTTCCTTATACTCAATGTTTAACTTCCCAAGTTTTCCACTTAACAGTAGAACCACAGTACGTGGGATTCTCAGCCAAGGAGTATACAATCCTACTACTACAACATATTACTTTAATACATTTTTAAAATGTGTTAAGACTGAAAGTTAAAAAATAGTTCAATCAATTCTGATAGTTAATAAACTAGCTGTTAATAACCTAGTTATTTTTAAAGTGGAACAGTCCATTCAAGCTCACATGTAGGTTCAACCTCAATACTACTAGATTGTTCATTTTGCTTTTTTTTTAAAAAAAGACTCAAACTGCTATACTGTGAAAAAGTTTATCTTGGACTCACCTCTGAAGAAAGCTGGAGAGCCAGCTTAGCTCTTTGAGCTGAGTTTTCTTTTCCCTCCAAATACAACACCCTGGTGAGAAGACTATGGCTCTGGCAATCTTGGTGGTGACCTCCTCTGGGAATGTTGACAGGGAAAAGAGGCTAACTGCATATAACAGCTTTGTACCAAACCTCCTATGATTTACAGTGGAAGAAAAACCTACTCACTTATGGTAGGATTACAGTACCTAGCACAGTGCCTTGTCAGTAGAAAATGTTTAATAAATGCATGACTGTTTTTAGCCTGGTATTCAATCCTTCTGAACCAGAAAAGAAAGAAAAGCAAACCTGATAATTGTTGCCTACCTGTCAGGGAATATTCTGTCTGCAACAAAGATAAAGGTAAAATAACAATGCATTAATCTGTGAATCTCTTCTAAAAGCTAAAACAGACCATTACCTTCTGTTTACATTTGTTTTTCAATACTGCCATTTGCTGAAAATTCTTAATGTCCTAATTTCTGCATTCAGCTTTATAGTTACTTGTTTAAACTACTTTTCAATGACACATGGGAAAACACTTTTATAAAATTAGTTTTTTAGTTTTTCTGTAGGCAGTGACTACTTAAACTGATACACTCCAGTGCTTACGTCAAAGTATTTGTGTATCTTTCCCAATTAGATGTTCTCTTTTTGAAGTTTTATCACCAAAACTTATCAGAAATCTTAAGGCTCATTTTATTTTGATGCTTTTGGCCATCCTTTAGCTTCTATTTTCTGAAATGTATATTTAAACAAGGTAAAAGGAAACAGAACAGTAAGTTTTTAAAAGATAGTTTAAAATGGTTTAAGATGGTTTCCAGACTGCAAAATTCCTATGTTGTCTTGTTAAAGAAGGGAATGTATCCTTACATAGAACATTTCAATGATCAACACAGAAATAAGTTGTCTGTCTGAAAAAGGAAACTTTTAAGAAAGGAACAAAGAACCAAGCAGTTCATTAGTTGGAAAACAAAATATAAACATCACATTGAAAATTTAGGCATTAATACCTGAATTATTTAGTTCCTAGGCAGGTATAACACCATTTCTTTCAAGATAATATAATTATGGTGAGTAAAGACTTTTTTGTATTTCCCAGTAGATTTTCTGACAGTCAACAGGGAAAAAACTATTGTGTATCACTTCATGTTTTAAATTTTGTCTTCATTTCTGAAGAAAGACCTGAGAGCTGATTTTTTTTTTGTAATTTCTTAAACTTTCACAACATTCAGAAGTTTTTCTGCATTATGTCTTCTTTGATGTCTAAAAAGATTTGAGCTTTGACTATAGGATTTCCCACACTGAACGCATTCATAAGGTTTCTCCCCAGTATGGATTCTCTGATGATTAATAAGCCCAGAATTCTGGCTAAAAGCTTTCCCACATTCAAGACATTTGTAAGGTTTTTCTCCAGTATGTACTCTCTGGTGTTGTACAAGGATGGAACTTCTACTGAATGCTTTCCCACACTCGACACATCCATAAGGTTTTTCCCCACTGTGGATTCTTTGATGAAGAATAAGGGCTGAACCTTGACTGAAGTGTTTTCCACATTCATCACATATATGTTGTTTCTTTCGAGAGGGATTTCTCTTTCTTTCAAACCTGCCCTTTGGGAAACAGGTTTCTCCATATTTAAAAATTTGAGGAACACCTATGTTGAGAGTCCCAGGAGCTTCAGGAGATTCTACTGACGAAGCAATCTCTTGCTTTGGAGCTAGTGCTCCATTTTCAGTCCTAGCATCATCATCTGAAATAGAAAATATAAACATCACCCAATTCCTATTTGGGGAGAAAAAAAATTTTAATGCACTACACATAAACAGCTTGTACACATCTATAAAAAGCACTCTGAAAATTCCTGTTAAAGTTTACTATTCCCCCCAAAAAAGAGAAAAAAATGAAATGACTGATTATGAGGGTCATAAGGTTAGAGAATGACAACTTAAAAGACTGTATCTAGGTAAAACAGTCAAGAGGGTTATACATAGTAGATTCTAAAACTGTTAAGAGTCAGTAAAAAGTGGTATCGCGAGGTCTAGACAAAATTTTGTAGGAAAAAAATGGTCCCTTGAAAATCGTTACGTTTAAGAGAGAAATTGTATAAAAACACAAAGGTGTAAAATAGTAAGAAATCTGTCAGTAACTGCTTCTGAAAATGAGCCAGACAAGATGTATCACAGTCCAGGCTGCAGAACCCAGGAGTATGAATGTGAAGGGGTGAAGATAACCTGAGGGCATCAGGTGCTCACTGAACACTTGACACTTAAAATTCAATACACCGTTAATAAAGAAAATATTTACTATTAACAAAGCTTGTCCTGTTCGGTATTTGTCATGATACCTAGAAAACTTGCTACTTCTAGGCCTAAGTGAGATGTATTCAAGGAGAAAGAAAAGCCTTGTCAACATGAGGTACCATTACCCACCTGTAGGTGGAGCTAAGCACAGTCTCATTTAAGATTCCCTTACACTTCAAGCCTTAGCAGAGACATGGGTGATAACACTGCAAGCAGTAGCAATCAAAATGGTCTAGGATAAAAATGGTTTGACAGAGGAACAAAGACAGAGGAAGACAGGGGAGAAGGGAAGAGGGAAAGAGGACAGACTGAAGGGTCAGAGAAGACCAGTGAGGCCTGGAGACATGAACAGACAATTGATTATGAAGCTTATAGGGACAAATGTGGAAGAACTATAGTACTGGAATGCGACTATTAAAAATACGCAAAAATTATTCTAAAATTCAAAAACGGAGAAGTTTTCTACCCAAGAAAATGTCACCTACAAAGACCAAGCACTGTACTTTTAAGAAAAATCCCCTAGAAAACATACAACATTGCAGATAATCAGATGATTTCAGCTATATCCTGGAAGTTGTGATTTGTTGGCAATGGTCTCTTGCAAGGGAAGAAAACCTACTCAGACCATATTCTGTCCAAGCAAACCAGCATTATCTCCAACTATTTCAAAGAATGATTCCCAAAGTGGTCTCACACAAAATTTCACTTAAATATATGTAATTATAAAGTAACATCCAGCAGTTTTAGGAACATACTGGGTTATATCAGAGTGCACATGTATATATATGCCATTAATTGCCAATATATTGGGAAACCATCAATTAAATGAATTATGAGATTTTAAAAAAACTGTTCTGCATTTAAGCAGAACAGTTTATTTTTGCATGAATTTTGTACTATTCAAAGGAACAGTTTATTTTTACATGAATAAAGTATTCACCCGAAAAATCATTTCTACAAAAACTCTTTGGGAAAAAAATTACTATGTAGGGCTCTGAAGGAACGAAAACAAAAGTAACTAAAAAGAAAGATTTCACTGATCTACAATAAACAAAAAGATTAGAGGCATGCCTGAAATCCTGGTATTCTAGAGGCTAAGGCAGGGGGATCACAAATTTAAGCCTAGCCTGAGCAATTTAGTGATTTATCAAGATTCTGTCTCAAGACAAAAACTAAAAGGGGGCCAAGGATGTAGCTCATTGCAAAGGCCCTGGGTTCAATCTCCAGTACCACAAGGAACAAAGCAAAACTTAATAATAATAATAAGGCTTCAAGTAAGCTTACTGTACCAATAAGATTAAGCAGGAGACTGAAACAAGGATGTAAAACACATGATAAATGGGTAATAATGTCTACAATACAGAGACTGGGACTACTGACATGGACAAATACGAGTATTCAAGAAAGGAAAGAAAAGGCGAAGATGTCTACGTGAGGAGTAAAAAACCTGATGTCAGCAAATCAACTGTTATCAGAAAAATACAAGTTCTCATACCAATGGTGGTGAACCTATGGCACACATACTGCAGCAAGCACACAGAGCTTTCTCTGCTGGCATGCAAGCCAAGTCACCCCCAGACCTGGAAAGTGGGCAGCTGAAATATTTTCCAAATCTAAAAATGCACTTAGAAAATTCTACATTTGTAGGCAGTCCTATAAGCCAACAGGAAACCTACAAGGAATTTTCTAGTATTATAGGAGGTGCAAAGGAGAATTCTAACAAATTACCAACATGCATATAGCATATTAATTGTGCAAAAGCACGCCAAATGTGCACTTAGACTTTTCAATAAAAAGCTGTTTATAGCATTGAAAGTTCTGTTATGTTTTTAAGACAAAAGATGCTAATGTGTGAGTTGTTTTTTCTAAAAGACTTCAGCATTCAGAATTAATCACAGTGTTGGCTCTCTGTGGTAAGTGGATTCTGAGATGCAGTTTGGGCACCTGGTCTCTAAAGTTTGCCATCACTGTCTTACAGTATGTCTGGGGCATCTAGTTCAGAGTGACACCTCCTACCCTCTCCATAAGAACAAGTGAAGAGCTCTGGGAAAAGGCCTACATTGCATCTAGAATTTTGATTCTCACCACAGTGCCGTAGGGAATGGAGCTCCCAGGATGCCCATTTCAGCTGATTCTCCACGGCATCAAGCTCAGAGCTTGGTAATCCCTGAGCTTCTTCTTGAGATACAATCTCTTCTACTAGCACTTCTCGTTTCCGTCGAGGGAGAGAAACCTAGAAATAATTAAGATTTTTGTTCAGATGGGAAAGCACACAGGAGAAACCACATGGAGAGGCCTAGATGGCAAGGTAGCACAGATAATGGAGAGTGAAGGGGGGATGGGGGAGAAGGTGTAAGTGTACATAATTCTAATATAGTTGGGTGGAAACTAATACTGCCTACAGCTATGTCAGTGGTTCTGATGCAAAAAAAGCAGATACAAGCAGACTCACTGGCTGTCCAGGGTCATCCAGTTCACTCTCCAAATCTTCCAGCACTGTTACTGCTTCCTCTCCATTTTCTGGATGATGCTCTCGGACCCAAGTCTGCAACTCCTTAGGTAGAATGGCAACAAACTGTTCCAGCACTACCAGCTCTAAGATTTGTTCCTTTGTGTGTGTCTCTGGCCTAAGCCACAGACGGCAAAGTTCTCGAAGCTGGCTCACTGCCTCACGGGGCCCTGGTGAATCCTGGTATCCAAACTGCCTGAATCGCTGTCGGAAAACTTCTGGGTCAGGGAGATGGCTCCATGGGATACTTGATCCCTCTTCACCATCAGGATCCTCCTCCAACTTCACCCTCAGTATTTTTTCCCCTTCATCTGGAGTTGGGATGATAAGTATTGAATCTTCTTCCACTGACTGTGCAGACATCCTGATTTATACTTCAGGAAAAGACAACGCAGAATGAAAGCCTCAGGGAAATACCCCGTTTTTGTTCGTTATAGGTATTCCTGAGGTAGAAAAAGTTAAAAAAAATATGTATTAATGATTAAATATCCTCCCTAAATTGTGGATTCTAATTGATGAGGGAAAATATATTTGCTCTGTTTACGGGATTAAAAACTCCAAACAATAACATAAACCAGAATTGGCAAACAATAGCTCATAGCCAAATCCAGCCAGTGGCCTATTTTTATACAAAGTTGTAACAAAAATAGTATATAAATTATAAACTGGTTAAAAATGTTGACATGTGAAAACATGAAATTAAGATGTTTGTGCTCATAAGTAATTTATTCACAGTTCATGCTACCATAGCAATGTTGACAGAGTTGAATAGTCACAAGAAATCATATTTAAAACTTGATACTGGGCCAGGAATTTAGCTCAGCAGCATAAGCATCTGCCTGACAAGCATGAGGTCATGAGTTCGATCTCCAATACCATAAAAAAATAAAATAGAAATAAAACTTTATATTTACCATCTGGCCCTTTACAGAAACCTGCAATCTATGACCTACAAAGTCAACAAATCCTACTTCAATAATCAAAAGAATCCAAATAGGGGCTGGGGATTTAGCTCAGCAGCATAAGCACCTGCCTTGCAAGCAGGCAGTCGTGAGTTCGATCCCTGGTACCGATAAAAAGGAAAAAGACCAAAAAAAAAAAAGAATCCAAATAAGACTGAACCTCAGTGTTTTTAAATGTGCTTAACCCTGAACACATTATTTGCAATTTAGGACTGGTGTTCCTCCGATACTTAAGTCAATTCAAATGTTACTGCCTTTTTAAGAGACCATAGTGTGTAGTTAACCAAGGACCTTGCACACATGCCATACCACTCACTGAGCTACATCCCTAACCCTAGGTGCTTTTTAAAACGATCTATTTCAAGATTTTTTTTCTCATAAAACGTTTTTTAAAGTTTTCAAAAGGCTGGGCATGGTGGAATAAGCCTTAAATTCCAGCTACGTGGGAAGCTGAGGTAAGAATATAGCAAGTCTGAGGACAGCCTTGGAGTAGAAAAGCTAGGGATGTAGCCTAGTGACAGACTGTCATTTATTGTCTACAGCACTTATCTACTGTCTCAGGACAAAATAAAATAAATAAATAAACATACATACATACATACAGGTTAAAATGTTTAAGAACTGAGACGAAATATGAAGAAAAATGTTTACTTGCACACTGACAGATCACATAATATTGGGAAAAAAATAGTCTGCATAATAATATGCAAACACTGTCACTCATCACAACATAAATACGTTTCATTTATGGCAGGCATTAGTATTAATGACAACAAATTTACTCTATTAAGAAAAAGTACTCCCACAACCATTCTAACTTCCTGCAGTAGCCGAGTCTTGTCCTTACATCAGATGACTCATAATTTTTCCCAGTCTTTACTGGAATGGAATCTTTAGGCTATTTTCCTATCCTTTCCTTAGTATTTACATAGTCATACCACATGTACTAAGGATGAGCCATGCAAACACTCTAAACATACTTATTTAAGGCCTAGAAAACCTGAAAAAGAGTATACAACCTACTGTAACTACTCAAGGTGAAGATTAGGAATCACAAACCACATCAGACAGCTAATATACAGGGGTTTAATTAAATACTCTGGCGTGTGGTGGTCTTAAAAATAGGATCTAGTCAATAACCCTACTGTATCAAATGGCTCAAGGATTTCTATGTAATATCTTTTCTTCTGTTACATGGCACACTGCTTCGAGAATGGTTCGAAGTGATTTCCCAACTCATTCATCTAAGGCACGGCTGTGTCCCCCATCTCGGCCCTGAAGTCCAGCCTTCCTCTCCAGCCCTGACGGCAGCGGACTTAAAACGACCATAGGCTACTCTCCCACAACCGTGTTTGTAGCACTTCCGCCGGCGGCCCGCTTGGCCTACAAGTCCCGGCAGCCTCTGCGCAAGGCCCGCCTAGTTCCCACCTCCCACAGAGATACCTCCCAGAACCCTCCGCGAGACACCAGGGCCTCTAAATAGAACAAAACCCGCCGGTGGGGGAGGGGGAGGGCGAGGGTCGCAGCGGACATAGGGATGGAGAACACTTCGCGGGTGCTGAAGACTCGAGCAGGCTTCCCGCCGACCCCTTCCTGCCCCTCAACTATAAGATGCAAAGACTGCGGCCTTTCCTCCGTGCCTCCCAGGAAGCCAAGAAAGGACCGAGCCACGCTTCCTCGCCAGCTCCTGCTGAGGGGTCCGAAAACCCTAGCCCTGAGTCCCCCTCTTCCTCCTACCCTTCCCCCAATTCCGGCGCAAACCTCTGGCTCAGGAGGCAGCAGCTTCGCTGTCCCAGACAGACGCAGAAACGCCGCTCACGAGCCGCTTCCCAGAAGCCCCCAGCGCGGACTGCTTCCGGTCTGCAGGCCCGAGGAGGCGGAGAGAGGCAAAGCCCACGTTGCCATGGGGATGCGCTCCGCGCGGGGGAGGGGCGGCCTGATGACAATGACCACATTGAGGCTGAGCTTGGCCTCACGCCTCTCTGCTTGAATAGCCCAGCGTTCTCTGTTCAGTTGAGAAGAGAGAAAGCTGCCATTGGAGTCGTCTTTATACATTTCCCCAACCCTTTCAGATTATCTCATGTGATCTTCACAGTAATCCTTTGAAAGTAGTAATAAGAGTGAATATTTGTGAAAGCTTACTATATTGTGCCAGGCACATTACAGTACTTTCGATGGGTTGTTACTCCTTTTTTCACAAATTTTATGATATAGGAGCTTAATTATGTCCATTCACAGCTAAGATCATTGAAACACAATAAGATAAATAGTAACTTCCCAAGAACTCAGAACACTCAAATGGAAAGTAAGTTTTGGAACCAAGACATGGCTTAAAAATCATTGACTCTTCCTGGCCCTCTACAAGCGATACATAAGAGCTTTTTTGTGACCAGTGTACCAGAGAAACAAGATGAGATGTGTTAAGAGTTTTCATAATGATGTTACAGTGAATTTTCAGAATGCATGAACATCTAATTTCAGGCTGGGCTTTTTAAGACATAAAGCTGCTGCAGACATAATCATTTAAAAATGTGAATCAGACAACTTCATTCCTGTGACTTAGGGCCTCCAGTGGATGTCAGCTACCTTCTGTATGACCTAAAAGTTCCTTATATTGACCTGCAAGGTCCCCTTCTTTAATCATGGCTCTTGGGCTCAGGGTGCCAACACATTCAGTCTCACTGCTGGTCTTTCTTTTGAAGCCTACTATTTACTTGGTTTTTTTTTTTGTTTGTTTTTGTTTTTGTTTTTCTTTTTTCTTTTTTAAGTCCTAAAAGGGTAAGGACTTTGACTGTCCTGTTTACAGTATTCCCATCTAGTCCCAGGATGCTGACTGCTTGGTACATATAAAACTCAGTAAATTTTTGTTGAATAAGTAAGTGAACTGTGACCTGATTACATTGCTGTCTTTGCTGGGTCACATGACAGGCATCAGAAAGCCTTTGCTCACAAAAGAGCCTTGTTTAAGGGCTTGTACTCGGCAGTGTAGGTCCAGAAGCATTTCAGGTTTCTCTCTTGGGTTCTGTTTCATTCAGGAAAGTATCCTCTGCGAACTGCCTTTAGCCTGTGTTGAACTAATGAGAAAATGAGTGAGCAACTGATGGTGTAACACTGCTTTTCTCCAACCAGGTCTCATCTTCCTGTCACCCCTGCTAATGCATTTTTCCCTTCATTGTAGGAGAAAGCAGGAATCTAGCCTCTTCACTCTCCTAGCTGGTTATTTCCAAGACCAACTTGGCTGCTTTTCCCAACCTTTTGCTCCCAAAGGCTGGCTAAAGGCATTTTTGGTGTGTGTGTGTGTGCATGTGTGCACGTGTGTTTTCCAGCATTGTAGGTCCAAGCCAGGTTTCAGGTATGCTAGGCAAGTGCTCTATCACTAAGCTACATTCCTAGCTCCTTACTAAAAGTTTTACATCTAATTAATGTTGAAAAGTAAAAATAATTAACATTAAAAAAACTTAAAGGAGCTAAAACTGAAATTTTACAGAACCCTATGCCTATGATTCCTGTGATCTATTCTTCTGTTTTCTATAATAGTAAATGCAAACTACAACTTTTCCTAAGATACTCTTTAGTAGGCTGTGACCAACAGCACCCACTTTGAAATACCATTCTCTGAGCCTCATTCTGTGGACTTTTTCTACATAAAGCTCTTGTTGCTAAATATCTAGTCAAAAATAGAGCATCTTCTTCCTCTGGGTGGCCTGTGGGTGCGGAAAAGCTCCACGAGCGCTCACAACCTTGCACACACTCACCTAGGCCACCCAGGCAGGCTGGCGCCACAGCTGATCTGAATCCTGGCAGAGGACCTTATGATCCTCCTGGAACACGACAGCTTTAGGGGCTGGCGAGTTGCTACTAGGTGCCCGTTTCCTTTCTAGCTGTTAAGGTGGCTGTCACGAGAACTTTTCTTGTTATTTTAGGGTTCTAATGACTCTTATCTTAGCCCCTTAACAATAAGGTGTCCCACATCATCTAGGTTTGTGCAGGGGGTGGGGGATGGAGAGGGTTCAGGGGAAACTGACACCTTCGGCTACTTGTGCTGTACTTTCTATATAAGTAACAATCATCTAGATCCCAGGTAAATATTCTTACCTTGTCTTGTCTTCATACAATGCATATCATTTATTCATTCATGGTAAAAAATTTTTTTAAATGTGAAGAATTAAAATAATGAAACCAGATAGGTAATAACTGGGTGATAAATAATTCAAAATAAATAAATTGAAGTTGTGATTCCTTCTTTCGACATTACTATTTTGTCAAGGAAGTAGACAAGAAAATAAATATTTATAGGACAGTACAATAGAGAAGAACAGAAGAACCACCAAGGGTACTTACATGAAATACTGAGAGGGAAGAAATGGAGGAAGCAAAGTAAGACAGTTTTTCCTGCCAGAAGGAAAACACAGTGGTGTTGCCACTTATTACCCAAGAAAGATGTTTCTTAGGTTTTTCTCTAGCCATTATTTCGAACCCTCCCCATGGGCACTTTCACTGGTTAAAATTTCCATTTTAACTAGTACTGCACTGTGCCAGGAGTCTTCGGATTATAAGTGATTGAAAATCTACCCATGGGAGGTATTGTTAACTTCCTGAATCATCCTCCCCGACTTCTGACACACTGACTTTCTTGTATTTGTCAAGAGAGGGGAACAATGTATCTGTTCATAAGGAAATAATTGTGATTGAGCTAAGATATCCATGACCATTCTGTCTACTTCCTTTGCCTCTCTGGTAAGAATGCTCATATAATTCAATTCTGATCATGAGATTTCAGAAAAAATAGTCCTGTCTTTTAAAAAAGGTACCCATTTAGATTGTCAAGCTTGTTCATACTAGGCATAAAGTTGTTCATAGTATTTCCTTAACATTTTAAAATGTCTGACGGAACTTTAGTGACATTTTCTCTTTTATTTTTCCTTTGATTTAGGTTTACTTAAGCATGAGTTTTTTATGTACTACAAGTTAGAAGTGATTTGTTATTAATAGAATCAAAAGTGCAAGAATGAATTTATTATGTCTGCTTTTTCATTCTCAAAATTGGTATTGCAAGGCTTCTCTTACCAGGTTTGCCTGAGATTTCTCAATTGTGTTAATCTTTTAAAGAATCAAATTTTGGCTGCATTTGTTTTGTAGGACTTTGCTGTTTTAAAAAATTAACATACAATTCATTTGACTATTTTGGCAAAAGTTTCTATGAATTTTAGCACACAGATTTGTGAAAGTATCATCAAAACCGATACATGATACACAATAGTTCCTTCATTTCTTAAAACTATGAAGTTGTATTCACATCATACATTCTTAACCTGTGGAACCCATTGACTTGTTACTAAGTACAACAGTTCTGATTTGTCCAAAATATACTAGAAATGCAATCACAAGGTATGTATCCTTTTTAAAAAATATCTTTCTAAGAGGCATTTGCACTCAGCTTTACAGGCAGGTTTTACTCAAAAGTATGTAACTCCTAAGACTAGTTTCTTTCATTCAGCACAATGCCTTTGAGAGTCATATCAATATGTCTTTCTATTTTATTGCTGAGTAGGATTCTACTTGTATGTCTCAAAGTTGTTTATTCAAGGAAGACTTTTAATTTGTTTCAGAATTTGGGTGATTATGAGTAGAGCTACTGTAAACATGTAGGGATATACATATGGATAGATTTTGTATAAAATATGTTTATATTTCTCTAGAGTAAACATCTAAAAGTGGAGTTACTGAATCATATGGTAAGTATATGTTTAATTCTAGAGAAAACTTTGAAATAGTTTACCAGAATAGCTACACTATCAAGTAATTTGCAATTTGAAAATATTTCTCTCAGTTTATAGTTTGTATTTTATTCTCTTATTAGTGTGTTTCACAGATTAAAACTTTTCCTTTCTTTTTCTTCCCCCTCCTTTTTTGGACTTTTTTGAGGCAAAGTTTCACTTTATGATTTAGGCTGGCCTTAAACTCACTTTGTAGCCCAAGTTGACCTTGAACTTGCAATGATCCTCCTGCCTCAGCCTCCCAAGTGCTGGGATTACAAGCAAGCATCACCATGCCCAGGATGCAAACCTTTTAATTTCAATAACTCTATTTTTTTCTTTAGTGCATATCTAAGAATAACATGAAGTCATGAAGATATTCTTATTTTCTTCCAAAACAGATATAGTTTTATACATTGCATTATATAATTTATTTTTCATTAATTTTAATGAATTATAGGTAGAGAAATTTTATCCTTAGAGATGTCCAGTTGGTCTGTTTGATTAAAAAGTTTATTGTTTCCATTGAATTGCATTTGCATCTTTATAAAAAAATAAATTAGAAGGTAAGTGTAGTAGCATATGCTTCTGGTCCTGGCTACTGGGAAGGCTGAAGCAGCAGGATCACCATTCAGGGCCAGCCTGGGCAACTTAGGGAGACCCTACGTTAAAATTAAAAAACAAACAGACAAAAATCATTAAGGATTACATTTAATGGCAGAGAGCCTCTGAGTTCAACCCCCTGCTTTATTTTAAAGCCATTTTTGTGTAGGTCTATTTCTGACTGTCTCATCTGTTATATTATTTATATATCTATTTACCCCTTTGTCAAGCCACATCCTGATTACTGTCGTTTTATGGTAGTTGTTAAAATGTAGTAATATGTGCCCAGCAACTTTGTTCTTTTAAAATAATGTTTTAACTATCCTAAGCTATCACTTAGTATTCCTTATAACTTTTAGAATCAACATACCTGTATGTATACACAATTTCCTGCTGGAATTTATATTAGAATTGTATTACATCCATTCATCAGTTTAAGAATAATTGGCATGTTAATTATATTGAATCTTCTAATCTACAAACACTTTACTCCATTTATTTTGCTCTTTGATATGCTTCATCTAACTTTTGTAGATTTTTGTAGATTGCCATTTCTTTTGTCACTTCATTCTTCCATTGAGCCCCATCTAGTCAATAATTTGTTTTAGTTGTTATATTTTTCAGATATACAATTTCCATTTGGTTCTTCTTTATATTCTCAACATGTTTCCTATATTTGGTTCAATTTATTCCTTTTAAAAATTTATTAATTACTACTTTTAGAGTTATTGTAAGTGGTGTTTAAGTTTTTTAATTTCTAGTTTCTCATTACCAGCATATATAATAGGTATTTGCATATTGACTCTTGCTTATAGACTTGATGATGTCCTCCAGATATTGTTATATATATTCCAGCTCTAATTCCCAGTGTGATGGCATTTGGAAGTAAAGCCTTTGAAAGGTAGTTTGGTCTTACAAATGCAACCTTCATAAAGAAAATTAGAGTCTGTTAGGACTTGGATATGGAATGTCTTCCAAGGACTCAACTATTGACGGCTTAGATGTGGGGCTTTAGTGATGTGATTGGATTGTAAAGGCTCTGATCTGATTAGTGTTTGAATAGATTATTTGGAGGCGGTAGAAACTGTAGGAAGTGGTGCCAATTTGGAGGAAGTAGGTCCCTGGGAAGATGTTCATGGAGGGTGCATCTTGTCCCTGGCCTCTTCCTAACTCGTTGTCTCTACTTCCTGCCTGCTCCCTGCCATGATACTCTGCCTCACTGTAAGCCCAGAAGAAATAGAGACAAATGACTACATGACCAAAGCCTCAGAAATTTTGAGGTTAACTTTTCTTCCTTTGAGTTGTTTTCTTCCCTCAGGTATTTTGTCACAGCAATGGTAAACTAACACAGAACTCTTGTGAGAATGTACACGAGATGAGTATCCCTCTCCCCACCTCTGATACAGCAAGAAGGTCTCCCTCTGCAAGCGAGGAAGGGGACCCTCATCAGCTACTGAGTCAGCGGGCATCTTGCTCTTGAACTTTCCAACATTCAGAACTGTAAAGAATAAAATTCTGTTATTTAAGGCACCCAGTCTGTGATATTTTTTTAACTAGCACCTAAACTGAGTAAGACAACTTTGTATCCTGCAAACACCAAGATAAATTTCATTATTACTATTAAGAGCTTCAAAAAAATTCAGTAGTTATTTCCTATATGGATAACTGCAAATTAGAGAAATTTATTTTTTAACTTCCAATCTGTACAGGACTGCAAAGTCAAAACTAAATGAAGGATGGACACCCTTATTTTATTTTCAATTCTAGAGGAGCAAGTATCCAGCTTTCATACTTATGATATTAACTCTAGGTCTTTAGTAACTGTCCCTTTTAGAGAAGTTCCCTTCTGGTCTCATAATAAATGAATGCTGATTTTGTCAGATACCTTTCAGGTTGATACAACCATGTGGTATTTTTTTTCTTTTGAGACTATTAATACTGTGAATTACCTTAACATATTTTTATTATTTACTTATCTATTTAATTTTAAAGAAAATAAAACCACACAAAATAAAACAGAATAAAGCCAATCAAAACAACACAATGTGACACAAGTTTTCAAAACAAGATAATAGGATATCAACAATGGTTACCATAATGCCTTTTGTCTTCAAAATAGCTACAGACCTTCAGACATAGTAAAAATCAAACAAAACAGAATAGAACCAATAAAAACAAAGCAATGGATGCAATAGAGGACTTCGAAACAAGACAATAGTAAATCTAAATGGATACCATAATACATCTTGCTACCTTTGAAATAGCTGCCCATGCCATGATATAACAAAGTCAAACAAAACTATAAAACCCAACCCAATAAAACAATGCAAATGATACAAAACTTCAAAACAAGATAATAGGAAATTAACAGTGGCTACCACCCTCAGAAGGAGATCCCCCATAGATGCCACACTGTGGACCATTATCCTCTGAATAGTCAGTAAAACATAAAATAGCACAAGCATCAAATTGCTTTTCACCTCAGTAGTTATCATTACAGCATGTGTTTCTCCAGATCGGCTGGTCACGCGCGCGTGTGCGAGGGTTGGCTTTTCTTGTTTCCCAGCCCATGCACCAGAAGGGGCTGGGGGGCCGGACTGTGGCGGCTCCAGCAGCTGGAGTAGCGTTATGGTGCTGATTTGCATGGAGGGCTTGCTTCTTGTGACTTCTTGTTCTCTTACCTTGCAGTCTGCGAATTTTGCTGACTCACAGAAAAAGGGTGGGGTCTTGACATATTTTTAAATACTGAGCCAACCTTACAGTTCCGGAATAAAGCCCCTTAGTCCCAGTGTTTAATTCCATATGCTCTTTTTTATTTTTAAGTTTTATTGTTTAGAGTAAATGCATCGCCATTTCTTCTGTCACTTCCGTTCTTCCATTGAGCCCCATCTAGTCAATAATTTGTTTTAGTTGTTATATTTTTCAGATATACGATTTCCATTTGGTTCTTTTATATTCTCTGTTTCTTTTCTAATATCTGACTTTTGCATTTATTTATCCTTACTTTTTAAGCATGGTTAAAAACTTGCTTTAATGTATTTTTTAGTAATTCTAATATGTGCACTATCTAATCATTGCCATAATTGGGTTTTCTTTTTCCCTAGAAACATACTGCCAATGTCTAATAATTTTTGCATTGTATCATCCACATTTTGAATATGTTATGAAGTTTTAGGTATTATTTAAAACCTGAAGAGAATGTCAATTTTATGATTTTTTTTCACAAGGCAACTTCCCTAGAGCAGGCCACAAGTTCTGATTTGCACCTTGTGAGCTGAGTTCCCTGTGTCAAATAGATTTGCAAAGCTTTTCAGTGTATTTAGGTCTGTCCTATGTGTGCGCCACCCAGTGGCCTGCTTAGGGCCTATACAGTGGTATAAGCAGTATAAGCGGTATCTCAGTCCTCAGTCCCTGTAACCCATGCATGCACGGTTCATGTACAACTTTATGAGATCAAACTCGATCTCATCATGTGGGAAATCACTTAGTAATTTCTGGCTCCCTGGCACCTTCCTTACCAGTATGGATGCACTGGGTCTCAGGTGGACTCGCTGACCTTCTGCTCTTCTCTGGTCTCAGTGCTGGTCAGCTGGCCTACCACTTGTTCACCAGCACATAGCAACAAATGATCTGTTCTGGCAGAGCAGGGAGCCAGAATTCTTCCTTGGTGATTAGATCTGTTCTAGGGAGAGTTACTGATCCCCTGTAAGTTATGAATGAAATTTACAGCCAATCCCCACTAGCTTTTAGTTACAGGATCCACAATGTTATTTTGCACAACTATTCCAACTCTCCACCCCATGGAGTTGACTAATTTCTAAGGTCTCCACTGGGCACAAAAAATTGCTATAATCTTCCACTTACATGTTAGCTGGTAGAAACTTTCTGCCTGACACTGTTGCTACTTTTACAATTCAGGGTTGAAGCACAGCCTGCCTGATCAACATTTGTTCACCCAAAGCACCAAGGGACAAGTAGGCACAGTCCTCTCGGCTTTCAGGACCCCTCCTCAACAATTCTCCAGTGGTTGAGGTACAGAGGTGAAAGGACACCTGTGCCTGACCCTCATATTGTCTCACCATTCTCAGGACTGGGTGTCCCAGTCTCATTCATTCTCTTTGTCTTCCCTGGGGCAGCTTAATATTTTAAAAACGTTCTCTTTCATGTGATAAATGTAAAGCCAAGGGTAAGAAGAGATTGCAAAACAATCCACAGGCAAGTGCAGTGGCACACCGCAATCTATTCTTGAGCTGTTAGAAGGCTTCCTAGAGGAAGTGGCATGTATACTAAACCTGAATACAAAAGAAAGAAATGACATGTAAAAGCTCCCTAGAGTTCAAAAGAACACAGGTAAAGGCGGAGAAGCAAGAGAAAGGCTTCTGTTAATACAAAATGGCTGTGACCGAACAGAGCTCAGTGATAAGAGATAAAGCTTAAATGGTAAGCTGTGTTCAGATCATGAAGAGCCTCAAAAACTGTGTTTGGCAGTTCTGACTTTATTCTAAAAGCAATGGGAAATCTACATCTTAAGAAACACCATGATACGTTTTGTGCTTTAGAAAGATTATTCTGGTAGAAGGAAATACATGTGTAGTGGACAAAGTCACCCTGCATTCAGGATTTTGTTGCCACGATGCTGGAAAAGCTTAGGGTTCGAGGGTGGGTCATGACAGCATGTTCCAATGGTAAAAGGATAGATTCTGAAGGAAGGTAGAAGATAAAGAGTAGAAGGGAGAGTGCTAGCAGCCAAAGAGTACATTTATCTCTGAGGCATTTGTTGTTTTAATAGATGGCTTGGTCATCTCTTTAATTATACATAAAATGAGCCCTAAATAAAAAGATACTTATATTTAAAATAACTTATATTGCACAAAACTCAATACATATTCAGTAGTGCTACAAAACACAATTATTACTAGAAATAATGTATAGTGTTTCATTTATTTGTCTCACATTATTCATCTTACATTTATCAGGAAACTAAGCAGAGGCCAATTCCACATTCATTTCTGGAGTTACTTTGGGCACTACATATGGCCAGATTTTCTGAGAATGAAATATTACACTTTATCAGGAACCCACCAACAAGCCTACAAGCCTCTTCCTTTTTCAAAGACTTTCACTTCTGGGGTCAGCTTTCATCACAGCTAACTATGCCTCCAGGAAAGACAAAACAACATGTGTATTGCGACACATTTTCTGTGTTCGCTTTGGTAGCACATATACTAAAATTGTGATGCATGTATGAAGAATTCCTAGAAAACAGAACATTTTACTGTATATCATCAGACTAATTTAAACAATATACAAGACTGCCATTTTAAGTGGGGAATCTGAATTAAATAAGGATAGAGCTAGCTATTTACATCCTATAGATGATACATTAAAATGTCTTAAAACCTATGAAATAGAAAAGTTGGATTTGAACAATTATTTATGAGTCTGTGATGGACTCTTTAACCTGCTTTTGGGATTTCAATTGTAAAAAGCATCAAACTCTTGTTTCATGACTGTTATGGGTTAAAAACTGATGGTCAACTTAATGTCAGCTGAATTAAATCAGCATGGTGCTGAGTGTAGATGTCCCACCTGAGGAAAGTTGCCAGCATAAAAAGAGACGTGAAGAGTGAGGCATTGTGGGTTTCTCGTAAGTGCTGCTGTTTGAGCCTTTGATTCTCCTGGAGCTCATCATGACTAGCTTCCCCAGTGTGGGTTTGATCATTGTCATCAGAGGAGCTTGGGACCATGTTGGTGAGAGTAACTGTGGTTCACTTTGGGGGAACTTTGATCCTGACATCAAGCATTGCTTCCTAGCTCTGGAGGGGAAGACATGTGCTGTTTAACCTTAAGGAGAAACTTGGCACACTGGCTTCCTGGCATGTACTTGACTGTCCTTGTCATCAGACAAGCCCCGGACCTCCATGTTGCTGAGGATGGCTATGATGCTTTTTAGGGCAGTCCTGGTCTTTGAGTGTGACTTCTCGGCTCCAGTGTAGAACCGTCACCCTACCAGCACAGCTCCTTCACCCCACTGGCACAGACTTTCTAGCTTCCACTACTGACCTTTGGGCCTTCTCAATGCAGATTTGTGAAAAAGACTGGTGTGAACCCTTCTTCTGGCCTCTAGACCTCCAGTTGGACTTGTGGGAGGTATTGTCATGGACTCTAGGTTTTCATCTGGACTCATAGAGGGCATTGCTGTGAGATCCAGGCTGTTGGCTGAATATTATGGGTCTTTAGTATTGTGGACAAATTTCCTTCAATTTCTGTGTTTAACTCTGGGTGGCCATCATAAAATAATGTTATAAATTCTGTGTCCTGATTATAATTGTTCTCCTCACTAACCCCAAAAAGGCTGTCTTATGGTGCCTGAAACATATTTACAGTTGACTTATGACAGAAAAATATACACAAAGAAGAAGGAAGAATAGTCTCCAGGAGTTAAGGACTTGTTCTCTCAGGTGAGCTGTGGTACACTTCTCATTACTGCACTTGGCAGCATTTGTGCTACGTCAGTCTTACAGTTTTGGATGGTCTTGTTTCTTATCTCTTTCTTTATACTATGATCTCACTCTATCAAGCATCCCAGAATGGTCTTGCTTATTATGAAAACATTCCTTAAATTCATATCATTCCTTAAAGACATACAATCATTTTAATGTTTCCATTCAGTTATTAATTATCTACACTATAAAAAGGACTACTTTTTCCAGCACAGGAAATTACTTAGTATCATTAAGTGTGTAGAGCTCTCATAAGTTTTTTTTTTTTTGGTACCATAAATCAAACTCAGGGCCTCGTACTTGCCAGGCAGGTGCTGCGCCACTGAGCTACATCCTTGGCCCTCATAAGATATTAAGTGATTTTATTTGTCTACCTCCTAACAATGACTGTAGACACTTCAGCTTTGTTTGTGAGCTATATATTCTTTTGCCCTCAATACTATTATCATATTGTGAATCTGTTAACCAAAGATAAAATAGGACAAATTTTAAAGAGTGGTTTAATTTTTAGCCCTTAGAATTCTAGTGCTCACGTTATGAAATGAAGAAAAATACCTGTTATACTGAGTAACACATACATGTCTTCTCAACTGGGAAAATACATATTTTTAAAAAGTCATAAGCATACTACTTCATTATTTTAGTTAAAATTGGGAATAGTAGAAAACATCTGAAAATGTCTTTTCAAAGCCTGCTTAGGAATGGAAATTGAATTACGTTTTGGAATCTCAAAGATCAGAATTGACAATAAGCAGAAAGGCAAGTAATGCTGACATGAGATATTCTTCCTTCTCTCCTGTGGCTTTTATGGCCCTTGAAATGAACTGGTGTCCATTATAACCATTGATTCATACTGAAGGAATGTTTGTGCCTTCTGTCTTTTCTTGTTCTGCAAAAACTCAAATGCTTTGGATCCCTATGATACTGATGGGACTTTCTCTCTTATATGTCTTTTCCTATGTCTAAAAAGATTGGAATTTTGACTAAAGGCCTTGCCACAGTCATGACACTTAAAGGGTTTTTCTCCAGTGTGGGTTCTTTGATGCTGAATCAGAATTGCACTTCGGCTGAAAGCCTTTGCACACTCATCACATGCATAAGGCTTCTCTCCACTATGAATTCTCTGATGTAAAATAAGGGCTGAGCTCTGACTAAAGACTTTGCCACATTGATCACATTTATGTTGCTTTTTTCGAGCAGGGTTTTCCTGTCTTCTTGAAAACCTGCCATCTTGTTCCCAGGTTCCTTGAGATGTGAAATTCTGGTAGGCATTCATATGAAGGGGGTTAGACACATCACTGTGCAGTTCTGTGTCTGAGGAGGTTTTCTGCCTTGAGGCAGATTTCACATTTATAGTTCTGGTGTCTTCATCTGAAATAATAAACAGAAAAGCAATGTCACCAGTTCTCTGTTCAGAAAGTCAGGAAAAAAAGATGACCCAAATATGTATCTGAATTATTAGCTAGCAAGTGTGGACAGCAACATCACAGTATGGAGGATGAAATGTTGAGAAGACCATGAGGTGAAGAGAGGGGCTTACATACTGAGGGCGCAGCCAACTATAAATATACAGAGCTCTACTGAGAAAGCTGACTGGTGGGCAAGGGGGAAAAGGTATGTCAGAGACAGGGAAAGTCTGAAAGACAAGAAAAGGGCCTAAAAGATGAGCAACTAATAGTGAAAGAAATCGCAACTGGACAGGGAGGAATCACATACGAGTAATGGACAAGTTGTAAAAAGCAAGAGTGTTCAAAAACAAAGCAGAGCTCACTAGTGATAAATGAATCAACTATGTAAATAAATGAGCAGAAGAAAGTCAACAGGCCAAAATATGGAAAATACAGCTAGAAAATATAATTCAGGCAAAAAAGGAAGAATTATAAATTAGAAAAATGGCACCTCAAAAAGTGAAGTGTAGCATGCTAGGATTATTTCCAAAAGATGAAAAATATTTCCAAAAGATGAGAAATATAAAATAAAAAGTGGCCTTTATTCTGAGAACACGGAGAGAGATGATCGGCACCCCCACCGCTGGCATCCTGTGATCTCTCCGGCAGACATGTGGCGTGGGGGCATATAAATAGCCTTGGTTTGGGGTGGAACCTAAGGCGGGCATTAGGGATGTACAGGTAGCCCATTGGTCTAGGTTTGGCGCCATATGTATATTTCCAGGGGCGGGAAGATGGCGTCACAGGTAACTTCCTAGGGGCGGGGGAGATAGGGGCTTCCTGCTTCAGGTTGTGGCTTTCCTGGCTACAGTGTCCTGTCTGGGCCAAAACCCTTTCATAGCACAGGGTATTGTATGTAAATTATAACACTAGCAGGGGCTGGGGATTTAGCTCAGCAGCATAAGCACCTGCCTTGCAAGCAGGCAGTTGTGAGTTCGATCCCCAGTACCGATAAAAAGGAAAAAGGCAAAAAAAAAAGAAAAAAAAATTATAACACTAGCTAAATGGCTAGGATTCCTGTATTGTTCTGTAACTGCATTTAAAGTCTATGAAAAAATGAGTATGGCTGCTTATAGACTGTGGTCACTTAAATCTAGCCAGTGTAGAGCACTTGTGACACAGGCTATCTAAGGCTCAGGAGACTTGTTAACTAACTGTATGTACGGAAGGGACTGCCTCTGTCACCCTCAGGTGGCATTTTAATAGAAGCTGCTAAAAGACACTGGTATAAGATTATCCTGCAATAAGCAACATTTTGGACACAATGAGGACCTGACATGGCTTTAGCTGACCATGACAGCTGGAGGGTGAGTCCTTCATGTATAGGCATTTCGTAAGTGGGAAGAAATGAAAGAAATGAGAGAGAGGACAGTAAGTGCTTCTGAGTCCTCCCATGAGGAGAAGAGCTGTCAGGGACTGAGTGAGACACTGACTAAGAGAACCATGAGCTATTTTTTAAAATCCTTAGAATTTAACTTAAAATGGGTCTAAATATTAATTAGTATAAAATGAATTAAAATTCTTGTAGTTGTTCATAAATATAGCAGGCTCATTTATTATTACTGGGTTAAGCAGAAGTCATTTTACAAATGACAATGATTTTAGTTTTGATAGCTCAGAGTCCCCAGTAACATCAATATTTAGTCACTAATATCAAAATGCTGACAATAGTTAGCATTTCCTAGAGCTGAGACCAACAGGGTCATCTGTAGAAGCCCTGGTAAGACAGGATGCAACTGCAGAAGTCATGTTGTAGCCTTACAAAATGGTTCTCACTCTCTCATGTGCCTTTGGTTCAGTCTACTTAGTACTGAAAAATCCTGGAATCTGCCTTTTTGTTTCAAAGTTCCATGCATTTTTTAAATGCAGAAAATGTTTCAGGGTGGAGGGTACCTTCACATGTAGGACATGACTTTTGCTAACAGAAGCCTATGCTTAGAGGTTGGTGGCCTTTAAAAGGTGGGGGGGGGGGGACTGAGATGGTTTCCCTCCCACTTCTTTTTAAAAATTTCTACGTTTTTATTAGTACATGTTTGCAGTTCATAATGATTACATTCATTATGGGGAATTGGTATAAGTATATCTACCCCCATCCTGCCTACTTCTAATGGTTAAGCAAGATCTGAAGATGCTAAGTGCTTAGTTCAGGCCTGTGGGAGCAGGCACTTGCCATGTAGGAGTGAGACTTTTCTAAACATCTCTCTTTTTTTTTTGTCTTTTTGAGACAGGGTCTTGTATGCAGTTCAGGCTGTCCTTGAGCTCACTTTGTAGCTCAGGCTGGTCTCGAACTCACAACGATCCTCCGGCCTCAGCCTCCCGAGTGCTGGGATTACAGGCATGAGCCACCACGCCTAGCTTTAACATCTCTTTAGATTTTTGTATTTTCTAATCATGCTTAGCTCATTGGCCAGCCCTGGTATACAGAAGCTTTGTGCGTGCATGGTGATGGTGGTTTCTAAATGAGGCTTCCCTCTTGATATCTGGTTCCCATTTCATTGAGGAAGATCATCTAGAAGGAGGATCTCTGCTCAAATGTTATCACTTCATAATAAGACCCTGTTCCCTACTCTATCTATCTGCTTTGTTTTTTCCCCATTCTTTTTTTTGTTTTGTTTTGTATTTAAGGACAGATTGCTATGCTGGCCATTCTGGAGCAGTTTTATAAAACCTGATGCAAAGCAACAGAAGCCACTTTAGGGCATGAAGGAGAAGAAAAACATTCAAAGAACCTGAGAGAGCAAAGTCATCTTAGGAGCAGTATGGGCAATTTTGCTCTTGGACCCCATAGTAACTGGATAAGCTATTCCATAGTAAACGATAAGCAGATGAGTGGTCTCTTGACCTTGTGCCTTGGAGTCCCACAGAAGGACCTCAGGCCACCTGAAAGGACAAAGGTAGGAATGAGGCTGAACTGGAGAGCTTGCAGACTGGGCTTCTGCTTCAGACAAAGGAGCTGTGTTCTCCTCTGGATAAAACAGATGGAGATGAGATAGAAGAGAGACTTAAGACCTCTTAAAGCAGCCAAGATGTGTGGGGTATACTGGGCCCTCTTCCCTTCCCACCAGAAGCTAAGTCCTGCATCTCACCATGCTGTCTTATGGAGTGCGGCTCCCACGATGCCCACTGAAGCTGCTTTTTCAAGGGCTTCAGCCAGCTACTCGGAAATTCCTGAGTGATTTCCCAAGGTGCCAGCTTCTCTGCCATCATGTCTTTTCTTCTTGCAAAAATGACCTGGGAACAGTGAGGTATAACTGAGGCTGAAGAAGGACATTAGGTAGGGACGTGAGAATAAAATAACAAAGAAAGCAGGTAGAAAATATCCTGGGCTCAAAAAAAAGGAGAAAAGCAGAATGGTGATCTGCTTTTCCTGGGACACCCAAGAGTGCATTCACTAGCCCATGCCTGTAGTTGTGCTGAGTGGGAAATCGATTTGATAGCTCCCCTCTGTGTGATGTGCTGCTGGGGTCATTTCCCACAGGTCCCCTTCTTACCTGCCCATCTGGTTGATCAGCTTCTCTCTCCAGCTCCTCCAGCAGAGTCACAGCTTCCTCCCCATTCTCTGGTTGGTGCTTCTTCACACAGGCCTGCAGCTCCTGGGGCAGGATGGCCAGGAACTGCTCCAACACCAGCATCTCCAGGATCTGCTCCTTGGTGTGCACCTCTGGCCTCAGCCAGTGATGACAAAGTTCCCGGAGCTGGCTCAGAGTCCCCTGGGGACCAGAGGAGTCTGAGTAACCAAACTGCCTAAACTGCAGGCGGCAGGTCTCTGGGGTATAGCAGCTACCCTGGTGGAGATGGGAGTCTGGATCACACATCTGCTCTTCTTCTTCCATCTTCACTATCAGAAACCTGTCAGGGTCCTCTGGACTTTGTGGAAGGCAAGTGGAAGACTCTCTCAATTTTGCAGACATTTTGACTGGCAATAGGTCAGGACAGTTCAGCCTTCCTCCTTAAGACTGAGGAGGTTTTCTTATGGACACTCCTTAAATAAGACTATAGAAATAAATGGAAATGCAATGAAGGACTAGTGCTTCCAACCAACTTAAAACATAAGGCTGGACAGGAACTGCCTACCTTAACCTTAACTTAAACCATGGTTTCAAAGAGTATTTCTTTGAGAGCCAAAGAACTAAGAATTGTTAACTCATAAACATGAATAATTCCCAATTTATTCTAAAATCCATGCCCAAGAGACTAAATATTATAGTAGGGGATCAGACAGGACTACAAAGGAACTCTCAGAGAATAAAAATAACAGAAACCAAAGAAAAGCTGGCTCTGGAGCAGGTTCAAAGAGTCAGTTTTATCTAGTCTTCTGCAAAGAGCTATGAGAAAAGGACTTTTGTGTAGATTTTTTTCAACTTTGGCTAATTATTAAAACGGTTATTTTGACACTGAAGAAACCATTAAGGCGATTAAATATTCCTTCATCTTACTGTATTCTTGTTCTTGTCACTTCTACTTCCATTTGTAAGACCTGTATTGTTTACTTAACCATTTCTTTTGGAATACTTTGCTTGCATACTATTATCATGACTACAAACAATGCTGAGAGGCATACCTTCATGAATATATTGATTATTTCCTTCAAACATACCCTAAGATCTCTGTTTAGTGGTGTCAGAGTGGGGAAATTCTGTCCTCTTGTCTATTATTTAAAAAATGGCAAAAAAGACTATCAGTTTACAATGGTATCTGCAAGTATCATTTGCTAACAAGAAGGGGGAGAAGACCATTTTCTTTGTACCATTTTAGTATGAGTATCAACAGTAACTAGTAACATTTAAAAAGTTGGACAGTGATCTGGGGCAAGTTGAGCAATGACTAACTTAAAAATCCTATGTGTGCCCTCAGCTTCCCTCTTTAGGGGGATGTTTGGTTTTTCTCCCCACTCCACCAAGTACTGTTCTAGGAACTAAAGATGCAGCAGTGACCTGAGTAAAGCCTGTGACTTTGTAAAGTTTATGTCACCAAATAAATCATGCAACTTTACACAGTGTTGTGGTACAATATGAAGCCTAACAGTGCACACAGAAATTTACCATGTGTCAACACTGTTGTAAGCACCTGAATAAATAAAGCTTATTTATATCCTCATAAAAGCCCTAGGAGGTCATTCCCCATGTTGCAGATGAGGAACCCGTCACAAAACAAGCTAAGGCAGGTTCTATGCTCAAGGGCAAAGGAGCAGCGCTCTCCAGAGTGCGGTACGGTCCTGCGAGGCGATTCCTGCCCGCTGGCTCCGGCCCAGGAACAAGGTCCTGCAGCAGCCGCTCCAGATGAGCCCGGGCAGGAACAGCCTGAGGGTGAGCGTCTGGATTTTGGAGCCATCAGGGGCCCTTTGAGGCCACACGAGGGGCTCTAAAGCTAAAGCAGCCTCGAGACCTGGAAGGCGGCCACCTCAGCCCTGGGGAAGGCTGTGCCGGCTCCGCAGAAACTCGACTAGACCCAGCAATCCACCAGCGGCACGCGGTGATCCACGGGGAGCGGGGCGCGGCCCCCTCAGAGCCGGGTCGGGGTTCCGGGAGACTCCTGCTCCGGGGGGCCGTCTCCAGCCGGCGGTCTAGCTGTCCCTTCCCCCAGGCCCTCGGGGACCCAGGGGACCCGGGGGACCCAGGGGGCACAGGGGGCCGCAGCCGGGCTAGCAGAGGGGAGGGGCTGCGCCGAGGACCCCCCCATCCCACTGGCGAGGCCTCAGCTCTCACCTTCAGGCAGGGAAGGAAGGACTGGCGTGCCGCCGTCGGGAGAAACCCCGGGAAGCGCCCAGCTCTGGGAAGCTTCCGGTCCTAGCGACCCCTGGGGGCGGGCCCGGATGCAGGACGGTTGCCATGGAGACAAGTTCCCGCAGCTTCCCATGCGGCGCTGAGGGGAGAGAAGAATGCTGAGGGCCTGAGGGGCGGAGGGGCGAGGAAGAGAGGGAGGCAGAGTTGGGGGAGGAGGAGGAGAGGAAAGGGAGAGATAAAAGGTAGCTCTTTTGGCCGTCAACCCAGTTGAGCCTTGTGCCACTTCAGACGCACCAGTATTGTTATTCCTCAAAGTACTTTTGCTTGGGTTAGTTTATTTACTCTTTCAGCACCTCAGTAAAGTAACAGCAAATAAATCAAAGGTCCTGGACTTGCTCAAGGTCACAAAGGTGGAGGCAGCAATGCTTTCTAAGGCTCACACAGTTTTCCTCTAATCATAACAGCAGGCCACTGAAAGTGGTTGTGCCCCTAGTAGTAACTTCTTTGTTGTCTTTTTAAGACAGGGTCTTACTATGCATTTCAGGCTGGCCTTGAGCTCGCTTTGTAGCCCAGGCTGGACTTGAACTTGCAAAAATGAGCCTCCTGCCTCAGCCTACTGAATGCTGGGATTACAGGCATGGACTACCACACCAAGCTAATATTGACTTCTTAAGGAGCAGGTCTGATGCCCCACAACTCTGACTAACGTCTAATACTCCCTACCACAGGACATAGTGTGGCTCATACCTTTTCAGTGAGAACCTGCTCCCCACCACACACACACATTTTTTCACAAGTACATAAGTTTCTATTTCCTCAAATAAGTTTAAGTGTAGTTGAAAATAAATTTTGGTGGGGCAGGTGTGCACACCTGTAACTCCAGCACTTGGGAGGCTGAAGCAAGAGAATGGCTGTGAGTTTAAGGCCATCCTAAACTACATGGCCAGAACAGAAAAAAATAGTTTGTGGCTAACCGTGGCACAGTGCAGTATACTGGGTTTCTCTTTCATTCACTTTCTCTTGGGACTCCTCAAAAATGTAGACCGAAGTAGGGGAATAAGAAAGATGACAGAGACACTAGAAAATAAGTTGGTAATTCATAAACAGCAGTAGCATTATTGTAAGCAATGATGCAAGGCAGAGACCAGCCAAGACCAATGGGCTTGTGTAAAGGTGACATAGTGTGGTATTTATTGTGGCTGGGTGCAGGCAGACAGAGGGCAAAATGGTCATCTCTAGGGTGCAAAGAGAAGCACCCTAGAAACCCTTTTCTATAAAGGGTTTAAATGAAGGTGAAGATACATTAGGCAGGAAGATCTTAGTAGACATCAATGGTCAGAGTTCTCTGGTTGTCTCATGCCTCAGTGTACAAAGTCCTTGAGGCGTCTGGTGTAAACATGTGGGTGTCTTCAGATGTCCCAGTGCTTGGATGATTCTGTGCTCCATCCTACTTTTTTTACCTCATCCTGTTTGTGGAGGGTACCAGTGCCACCTGAGAACAAGTACTCTGCTGGCAGATAGGTTGAGTATTGGGAGAGTTATGTCTTACCATTACAAAAACTGGCTATTGCCTTTGTGGAATTATCCTGCAACAGTCTGCTGGCATAAAGAATAAATGCTGCCTTCTTATCTCCTTGATGCAAAGAGTCTTCCTTTTGGTTCGCTTTGGCTTGGGAATTTTCCTGCAGCATTTCTGGTGTGTTAGCCTAGTACATGCTTTGCTGACCACTTAGATCACTGGTGTAGCCTTCGATGACTGCTGTTGGGGCACATTTGTCTCTGACAACAAGAAGACACCCTCTGCCTTTTTATGCCCTCTGACTTTTTCTCAGTCTCGTTAGCAGCCCAGGGGAGGAAGCCCCTGCACCACAGCAAGGACCTCATCAGACCAGGGAGGAGTTAGAATATGGCGCAGAGCAGGTCTTCTGATGAAGTGGGCCTTCCCAGGGCTTCGTCCCAGTTACCCTAGGTAACCTGGGGGGCAGAAGAGGAACTGATTGCTCCTCAACAACGTCTGCCACTTATTCAGATTCCAGTTTCTGTTCTAGACAGAGTAGTTAACTGCAGTTGTTATTCTAGTTAGATTTGCACATGGCTTTGAGGATGGGAATGTATTAACTTCTGTGTGCCTCTGCATGAGTATGTGGACTGAATAAGAGCAAACAACATTTAAAACATGAATGTATAAGTGTGAATATATGCAAAATACAAGATTATCTGAACTCAACTGAAAATTAGGACAAAAAGCACTCTAATCAGTCTTGAAGAGAAAATTTAAGCATTAGATGATAGTCTGCCCAGGATGTCTGCCAAGACCTGTTATCAGCAGGCCTGGTAACAAAAGTTTCTTCCCTTTTGTGTAAAACTCCTGCCTTTGTAACTGTGATGCCTTTGTAACTCTTTGGGGCCTTTGTAACTGGTAATCTTGTAATGTAACTGTAGACATAATGGGGCACTTTTTCCTTTGTTTTGTTAATGGATTATAATATAACTTGAAAAGTATAAACTCCATTAGCAAACTATGATATCACTGAACCTCCAATAGTAGGCATCTCTTTAAAAAAAAGCTTTATAGGAGAAATCAAATTATAAATTTTAACTGCTTGGTAAATATACTTTTGGTTTTCAGTTTGAGTTAATGTGCATAAAGCATTTCTTGAATTTACAAGGCTAACTTGCTCTTTACTCTGTTGTTTTAAAATAAAACACTGATTCAAAGTTACTCAGAGATCTATCGACAGATATTCAAGTTTGACTATCTGAGGGAAAAGTAAGGGAAATATTAAAATCCAAGTGATTGCAGTCAAATTTATTGTAGTTATAATGACAGTTATAGTAAATGGAGAATAAAGAAATATTAAGAAAGCTAAAAATGTAAGAGATATACTTTTGGTATGAGAGAATGCTGTGTGCTGAAAGTCTTGTTCTGCTAAAGAGATAAAAAGAAGAGGTAATAACAAGCCGAGAAAATTTACAAATATTGAGAAAAGCTTGTGAAAATAGTTTATTGAAAAAATTATATGTATGGCTACATGTTAATTTGATAGATCTTAGGTTGTTCCTTCTAAAAATTCTCATGAGGAAATGGTGGAATCAATATGAGATTACCAATCAAATAATAACCTTTAAAAATTTATGTGGGGCCGGGGATTTAGCTCATGGACATAAACGCCTGCCTTGCAAGCTCAAGATCATGAGTTCTATCCCTGGTACAAAAAAAGAATGTTAAAAACTTATGTGACACATATACCATATGTTACTCTGTTCAATACTATGATAGACATTTCAATATGTTATTAAAATGGCATAATAATTGTCATGCTACACTATTATGAATGGTTTTGATTTCTAATTTTGTATGTAATGTAAAATATGTAACTCTCAACTATTTAATATAGTTCTGGAGACATTAGCCAAAGCAATTAAACAAGAGAGAAAAATAAAAGGAATGAAAATAGGAAAGAAGGAAGTTAAATTATCATTATTCAGAGATGACATGATACTCTACATTGAAGACCCCAAAAACTCCACCAACAAAATTTAGACTTAACAAGCAAATTCAGCAGTGCAGCTGGATACAAAGTCATTACTCAAAAGTCAATAGCATTCCTATACACAAGCAACAAACTCACTAAGAGAGAAATTAGGGAAACCACACCCTTCGTAATAACATTAAAAAATGAGATACTTAATGTCTTAGTTACTTTTCTGTCATTGTTGAGACAAAATATCTGATGCCCAAAGTAAAGCAAGGGAAGGTTTATTAACATTTCTTACAGTTTTGGGGGTTGCAGTCCATACTCAGCTGATTCTAAGGCAAGATGGCATGGCAGGGCAGCTGTTTGTGGCCACCACAAATGGCAAGAGTGAACAGAGCAAAAAAGAGAGACACACTTTCTTCCTGCCCTTACACTGTATGTCAGCTCCATCCCTGGGCAGGTGCAGCACTCACAGCACTAATCCCAGCACCAGACAACAAACCAATCACAAATGCTAGATTCAGCCACCTCCATGATTGCATTAGGCTTGGGGAGACATCCAAACACAAACCATAACACCATTTGACACAGCTATTCCCCTTCTAGGTATCTTCTCAAAAGAGGGAAAAGTATCATACCATAGTGATATGCATACTCATGTTTGTAACAGTACAGTTTTTAATAGCTAAATCTTAGAAACAGCCCAAATGGCCATCAATTAAATGTGATTTCTGCATATATAATGGAATACTACACTGCCATAAAGGAGGATAAACTTGAGACATTTTCAGGTAAATGAATGCACCTTGAGAACATAATTTTAAGTGAAATTAATTACATACACATGTTTAAATGTTACATTGTTTCTCCTGTATGAAAACCCAAATTAGTAAATGTGGACTACAATGGATGATAGACATTGGGAAGTAGGAAGAAGATGTTCAAATGAAAATGGAAATAAAGGAGAGGAGGGGGGAAGGCAATGATAGGAATAAGGCTTAAAAATAGAATGGAAGGAAAACAATGCAAACAATATTTTGTAAAGGGACAGGGGACAAGGATAAGTCAATACATTTCATTTATAATTATCAAAGTTAATGGTCTTAATTCAGTCAAAAGACACAGACTGGCAGAATGGATCAAAAAGCAAGATCCAACAATATGCTGCATACAAGAAACACATTTAATGCAAAAAGAAATTCATAGACTGAAAGTCAAAGGATGGAAAATACTACTCCATGCAATAAGAACCCAGAAAAAAGCAGGGATAGTTATTCTATTTGCAGACAAAGTGAATTTCAAGCCAAGACTGATTAATATAGATTAAGAAGGCCATCCATCCCTGTAAAGGGAACAATACAAGAGAAAGAAATAACAGTGATAAATATATATTCAATAAATACTAGTATGCCAAGCTATAGAAAACAATTACTAGTGGATGTGAAAAATCAGATAAGCCCTAGTACAATTGGGTTGATCTGTCACAAAAGGACAGATCAACTAGGCAAAAATCAATAATGAAATGTTAGAACTAAATCAGACTTTTGAACAAATGGACTTAGTAGGTATCTACAGAGTGTTCTACCCAACAACATCAGAATACACATTCTTCTCA